GTTAGTAGGCAGCCGGATCAGAAACAGAGATCAGACCGAATCCCAGGCCAATCCAGTATGGGATATGGGTGTCCCAAGTGGCAAATTAACATGTTGCACCTCAACACCTGCCCTAGGTCTTTTATTTTAGTCCCTTAGGTCTTTGAAGCCCTGGTCAGTTTTCTCTCTGTTGTTCACATTGAACCTTCATTGCTTTTTGGGATTTAATCAGGTTATCTTTTTCTTGTTGTAATACATTAAAAAATCCTTCATGTAATCAGCAGCTTGTCTGATATAAATGCTGTAAATATATTTTTTATTTTGTTCATGTTTTCTTGTCATTCAAACCTCTAATTTTTTTAAAAAAAATTTTATTTATTTGAGAGGTAGAGTTACAGACTGAGAGGGAGAGACAGAGAGAAAGGTCTTCCATTTGCTGGTTCACTCCCCAAATGGCCATGATGGCTGGAACTGGGCTGATCTGAAGCCTGGAGCCAGAAGCTTCTTCCGGGTCTCCCACACTGGGTGGGGGCCCAAGCATGTAGCCATCTTCTACTACTTTCCCAGGCCATAACAGAGAGCTGGATCGGACGAGGAGCAGCCAGGACTTGAACCAGCGCCCATATGGGATGCCGGCACTGTAGGCAGAGGCTTAGCCTACTATACCACACTGCCGGCCCCTATACCTCTAATTTTTATTGGGTATAATGCATATTATTATACCAAATTTATAGATATATCTTCCTTTACATTATGTTCTTTATAAATATTAAGTGACTTTTATTGTTTTCTGCCTTAAATTTTACTGTTCAAAATCATACTATCCATGATTTCCTTTTATGTTCACGTGGCATTTTGTTGCCTAACTTTAAATTTTAGCCCAAGTTCTTTTTTTTGTTTGTTTTTCTTAAGATTTATTTATTTATTTGAAAGGCAGAGTTACAGAGAGGCAGGGGCAGAGAGAGAGAGAGAGAGAAAGTCTTTCATCCCCTGGGTCACTCCCTAAATGGCTGCAACAGCCAGAGCTGGGCCAATCCAAAGCCAGGAGCCAGGAGCTTCTTCGGGGTCTCCCACACAGGTGCAGGGGCCAAAGCACTTGGGCCATCTTCTCCTATTTTCCCAGGCTATATCAGAGAGCTGGATCGGAAGTGGAGCAGCCGGGACTTGAATTGGCGCCCATATGAGATACTCATACTAGCAGGTGGTGGCCTTACCTGTTATGCCACAGTGCCGGACCCACAAGTTCTTATACATATGCCTCTTAGAGAAATATGAGTCAGATTTATTTTTTTAATGTTTTTTTTATTTATTTTAAAGGCAGAGTTATAGAGGAAGGAGGAGAGAGAGAGAAAGGGGGAGAGAGAGAGGGCGAGAGAGGGAGAGAGAGGTCTTCCATCTGCTGGTTCACTACCAACATGGCCAAAATCACCAGGGCTGGGCCAGGCCAAAGCCAGGAGCCTGGAGCTTCTTTCCAGTCTGCCATGTGTGGGTGCAGGGGCCCAAGCACTTGGTCCATCTTCCACTGCTTTCCCAGGTACATTAGCAGGGACCTGGATCAAAAGTGGAGCAGCCAGGAATTGAAATAGCACCCATATGGGGTGCCGGCACTGCTGGTGGCAGCGTAACCCACTGAGTCACAACACTGGCCCTTAGTTGGATTTATTTTATAAAAGTGTATTTCATGTACAAAACATGCCAGTTATGTATCTTAAGAGCTAAGTGAACCTTTATCTTACTACTTAATTAGTGGAAATTCAACCCATTTATTTGCACTGATATATAATGATATATTATCATTTTTATCACATTGTTACTTTTTCATTTTTGCTATCTTATATTTCTGCCTTTTTAATGTTTCCTTGCAATTTTGATTTCACCATTTGTATTTTTAAAAAGATTTTAAAAATATACTTAAAAATTGGCAATGTGTTTGATAAAACTTCTTGCTCCTCAAGTACCCTTTTAACTTTATTAGCCAGTTCCTCATTTGTCACAATCATGTGTGTAGAAAGCTTTGTGTAGAAAATTTAAGTACAAATTAAATGGGATATACCAAGATTTTGAGATTGAGCATTAAGCTGTGTAGACAACTGTAGTGAATTCACAGTGAACTCTGTAAAAACAAGGTTGCAGTAAAATGGATGAACCAGGTATGTACTGGGGTATTTCTTCAAAATAATCATGGCCCAGAAGGATAGATTATAGTTTTCCCTGAGAAGATACCAGAGTATAATACAGTTTGAGATTTCTATACCTTTTTGAAGAGATATAATTCTACTAGTTTACAGTTTTTGCAGTATTGATCTTCTCTCACTTTTGGTAATGTGATTATATAATCAGTTAATATCCTTCATATGTATAACCAACCACTAAATCCTTTTTTTCCATCAGATTTTATATTACCTCTCAATTTTGACAACTTTTAGTTAATGCAGACTCTTTAATAATTTGCACCTGCTTCAAAGAAGGAGGTACCTTTCTCTGAAGGGAGGAGAAAACCTCCACTTTGACTATGACCTTGTCTAAACAAGATAAGAGTTGGAGAACTCAAAAGGCTTCCATAGCCTTGGAAACTCATGACTGGAGCATAGGGAGATTACTGATGCCATAAACAGGAGTGTCAATTTGTTAAGTCAACAACAGGAGTCACTGTGCACTTACTCCTCATGTAGGATCTCTGTCCTTAATGTGCTGTACATTGAGATTTAATGCTATAACGAGTACTCAAACAGTATATTTAACTTTGTGTTTCTATGGGGGTGCAAACTGTTGAAATCTTTACTTAATGTGTACTAAACTGATCTTTTGTAAAAAAAAAAAAAGAAGAAGAAGAAATTATCAATTCCCAACTTGACTCTCACTGGGATTAAACATGACAATAGGGCTGATCTGATTTCATCATCATTTAAAAAATCATCTATTATTTTTCACTTTATGTTTCTGTGTGGGAGCAAACTGTTGAAATCTTTACTTAATGTATATTAAACTGATCTTCTGTATATTAAGAGAATCGAAAATGAATCTTGATGTGAATGGAAGGGGAGAGGGAGTGGGAAAGGGGAGGGTTGTGGGTGGGAGGGACGTTATGGGGGGGAAGCCATTGTAATCCATAAGCCGTACTTTGGAATTTTATATTCATTAAATAAAAGTTAAAAAAAATAATTTGCACCTGTATTACTCTAGTTTCTCCCACTCTGTATCATTTTTGAACTCTGCTGCAAAGCTGTGTTATCAAAGATATTTTCCCTTATGTTATTCTCTCATTTATGTGATTAAAGTGACTTTCTGACAAAATCCAGAAATCTCATCCTCCGTGCCTCATTGCTGCCTGCACCTAAATCCACAGAGCACCACTTCTCTGAATGACGCTGCTGCTCTAGCCAGGCAGAGGTTCCTGCAGGCTTCTGACAGGCTTCCCCCATTGTTGTGTCTTTGTTCATGTTGTTCATACTGTTCTTCTTCCTGAAAATAATTCATTTCTTCTGTATGGGGGCATTTGTGATTATCTTATTCATTTTTCTACTTTTACATTTCTCATATAGGCTGTGCTAAGCCATCTTGAATATAATTTGCATGTTATATTGTTATTATTAAATATATATCTTTCAGTCCTTATTCTAAATGGTAAATTCCCTAAGGTAAAAGAACGTATCTTTAGTTTTCTGTTTTGTTTTTGTTTTTGGTCACCTTTTTACTAGTGTTTTCCACAATTTTCAGAATGGGACAGGAGTTCCTTCTTGTTGCCCTGCCATCCTCTAGGGCACGTCCTTTGATTTTATACTTGTTTGAAGTTGAGTCACAAGTACCTGTGTTTTCCAACTTAGCACAAAGGGAGGAGTTCTTGCAGGAGGGGTATGCTCAGTGTTTTATAGGCCAGGAAGTGGAATGGGATACTGGCACATTCCTTTGGTGGGAACTTAGTCCCATAGCCACAGCCAGCTGACAGGGAGGCTGAGAAGCCAAGATGTAGCTAAGCAGCTGTAGGTCCAGTCACAACTCTATTTTGGTGAATGTCTGGAAGTGTCCACCACACAGACATACTAATAGGACTTAACTTATCTGGTTATCTATAGCAGCTATAAAAGGGTTTATTAGTTCTTTACAATCAATCCTAGTCTCTGTATACTCTGGTAAAATTCTTCCTTATGGTTTTTCCAAATGATATGTTTATCATTTTAAAGCCTCTTCCAAATGTTTATAATTCCTTCTTTAGCACTAAAATTTTTTTAATATATATCTATGCTCTGTTGATGTTTTTTAAAATAAGTAGCTTTTATCTGACATATCTACCAATTTATATTAAAGGAAGTTATGTTTTTGAAGCTAGATTGCTGTCCCTGAATAAAGTTATTGATCCTAAATTATATCTATAATGCCCTCTTCAACTAAAAAAAAATGAAAAACTCAAGTCTAAATTGACAGCTTCCCTTCTGTTATCAAATTATTTAATACCATAAAGAGCTCAGCTGTGTTAGATATATGAGGGTGATATAAATGGAGAAGTGATAAGTTGTTCCATATAGTATACAAAAATGAAGAAATTCTAATTTTCTGAAAATAAGGTAAAAATGAAATGATTCACTACAGAAACAAAATTAGAAAATAGTTTAAAGAGGTAGCAAATTAGTTGCCCTTGTTTTTACTATTGATTAAGATTAAATGTTTAACTCAATATAAAAATTTGTATTTTTGTAATTTATTGAACAACTTGTTTTTAAAATGCTTTTGAAATTTTTACTACCTACTAAATAATTCCTTTGGACAATTATAGCTTTAAGGATGAGTAATTTTATTAACAGGGCTATATTTTTGTGTGTGTACTTTAAGTTTTTTAGAAAACAAGTCAACTAAAAAAAGTCTATTTCTAAAGCTGCTGAAATATTCTTTTTTCTTAAGCTATACACTTAATTCTAGATGAAAAATGTGTGATTTTTTTTTTGTAATTATATGTTGTTTTAATGTTTGTTAGCTACAATTCAGGAAAATCTTTGAATCTATACCATTGAATTTTACTTTTGCAGCATCCTTTTATTAAGAATGCAAAGCCAGTATCAATATTAAGAGACCTGATCACAGAAGCTATGGAGATCAAGGCGAAAAGACATGAGGAGCAACAGCGAGAATTGGAAGAGGAAGAAGAGAATTCGGTTAGTAATCCTCTTCATAAAGTTGATTTTACTCTTACGAATCACTTTTTCTATAGTTTTGTTTTATTTCTTTAAATGTATTAACTGCACTTACCATTTTGTTTGAAGCAAGGTATGCTTTTTCATTAAATCTCAAAATATATTTTGTTTGTGTTAAAATTTTTGCTGTCCTCTTCTGATGTCTTAAGAATGAGTGATTAGTGGGAAAAAATTTTGATTTGAGCATAGTAGGATTGTGCAGTCCTGGTATGCAGTTGATACTAACTCTGTTAAATAACTGTTATCTTTGAGTTTGGACAATTTTGTGTCATGTCTTCAGTAACTTTCTTTGAACTTGTCATCATTATGCTGATGAACACTACCACAGCAGAATACTTGCTTTGGGTTCCAGGTAAACTAGGAGGACTTAAAAGGGCGTGGCATATTAAGCCAGTTTGTTCCAATTATGTTGATGTGGCACTGCTGGGTAGTAACAGATCATTGTATGTGTATATCACAGTTGTGTTTAATGCTTCTGTTCTTTGCTAATTGTTTTTCCCTGGTGTTTCAATAAAATTTTTTCTGGGTAAAGACACAGAGATGAATCTCCTTTGATATTCAAATAGCCATAAAAATCTGAAAACACAGGTAAGAGTTTTACTGCTGGACAGTATCTTTGATAACACCATCTGTGTTTCCCCTTAGAAGTTAATTTTTTTATCTTACAATTTCTAAATATAAATATCATTATTTTGCTAATTTGAATTCTGTTTTAATTTCAGAGACTGATTATACAATTGGGAATTCTTTTGAAATTCTTTTATGCTTTCATCAGTTATTAAATTTTTATCAATTGTTAGCCCAGGACAAGGAGAAAGGTGCATCTTGGAGCATTGATTTCTAATTATTTTTCTAGATGTGCAGCTACTTGAATTTCTTAGTTGGTAATCATGGTGGACTTCCAAGTGAGACAGATGCCTTGGACTAGATATAAAATCTCTCACCGATAAGTTCATCACTCAGAACTTTAAATGTTATTTTCCTAAAGTTACTTTTTCACAACCACATGGTTGTATATTAGGTCTACAAAGATAAATAGTCGAGTGGGAGATGTAGACCTTGATTTTTCGCTCATGGGGTTTTATAGTTCCTATTCTGGATTCCTGTGTGATATAGATATATTTAGTTTCTGATTTCTCTTCAATTAATATCGTAAATATTCATTTTTTAAAAAGTTTTTGTGAGTTTGAAAGTCCTTTGTCATAGTTTATTTGAACCTTAAAAATAGTAATAATATTGGTCTTATTTTATTATTATCCCATTTTTGCATTTGAGATTAGGAGGAATATGATTTGCCATTGTTCTTACAGCCAGTGAGGAACTAAGATGAAAACTGGGTTTTTTATTTTGGAGCTTCCATGCTCTTTCACTAATCCTTTTTGCTCATTTTTCAGTAAAATATTTATTACTCCCTCTAAAAATAAACAGCATTGACTTATCAGAGTTACATGATTTCTGATAATGCTATGTTGTAAGAAAAGCCTAGTTTTGCTCCTCTGTTATTGTATCCATTTGCTTATTTATGCACATTTCTTATGATGATGGACTAGTGAACTGCCTTTAATTAACTATCAGTGGGCATTTGATTATTTTGCTTTTCTGTTCTTCCTATATAGGGTTATAGGCTGGTTTCCCCTTTTTGATGGATAAGAAACTGTGTTGACTACTCCAGAATTTACCCATATTTAAGACCTTGCTACAGTCACTTTAGTTATTCTCTGCCATTCTAATGATCTCTTTCTTTACTGTTTTCCTGTCCTTCACCAAGCCCCAGTCATATTGATCTTTTAGATACTGTTGTTTTTGCACATAGCCAGGACATTTTTACTTAGGGCCTTTGCAAGTGCTATTTTGTTCTCACTGCTGCAAACACTCTTCTTCCTAGTACTCATGAAATGCCTAAAATCCTCTATTCTTCTGAGTCTCAGCTTTAGATATCATGTATCACAAAATTTAGCATCTTAAAAATTTATTATCTCATGGCATATGTGGGTCAGTATTTCAGGAGTAGCTTGGTTGGGTGGTTGGGTGCGTCATGAGGTTGCAGTCTAACTGTTGGTTAGTGTCGCTCCCCCTCTTCGTGGAGGAACGACACAGGACCCTGCGCTGTTCTTTCGTCTGCTCGGCCCTCCCCGGGTTTGCTGCTGGTTCTTCCCGGGTTGGCTACTGTCCCTTCCACCTCCGTGGAAGGGCAGTTCCCCCTGGCCACATTCCCCACTTCCGCAGGGGAGCGGCACACCGCCGGCCGGCTCTCTCGGGGGCTGCACAGGTGTTCCTTCAGATAGATGTTCCTGGTGCATGTTGTCTCTCTCCTCCTTTATAGTCCTTCCACCAATCCCAACTCTGCTACCCACACGCCGAGTACGCTGCTCTCCTCCAATCAGGAGCAGGTCCCACAGTTTATTGGTTGAACTGGAGGCAGCTGAGTAGAAGCTGTTTCCCTTCTCAGCGCCATATTGTGGGAAAGCAGATGCATAGAATAAGTCTTAATTCCAGTAACTTAGTCTAGTCCGAGTTGCTCCCAGTTGCTCCCCACAGATCCCCCTTTCTTTTTATTTTTGGCGTTGATACGCGCCTGTCTTCGGTGCCCCGCGGCACACACTCTGCTCTGCTTGCTAGAGTTGCCCACAGGTTCTTACAAGTCCTATCAATCAGGCAAACCGAATCCGGGTCCTCTCTTCGCCATGTTGTGAGGAGGTTTTTAGGCGCTGATGGGTGCCTGTGTTCGGTGCCCTGCAGCGCATGCTCTGCTCTGCCTGCAGGTGCTTACAAGCCCTAGCAATCAGGCAAACCGAATCCAAGCCTTCTCATTGCCGTATTGTGGGGGAGGCCTTACTGATGTTAATTCGTGCCTGTCTTCGGTGACCTGCAGCTCATACTCTGGTTGAGCTGCCTGCTGGTGCTTATCGCCCTAATCAGGCAGACCGAATCCAAGCTCTCTCATTGCTGTGTTGTGGGGAGGCCTTTCTCTATTTCTCTATCTCCGGGCATTCCTATTTCTCCCATTTTACTTCTATCTTCCAGCATTCCTATTTCTCTCATTTTACTTCTAAAACTTCTGTTTCTCTTATCCCTGCGGCTTCCCGGCAACCGCCCCGAGGCTGCTTCTCGGCACCTCGTCCAGCGGCAGCTTCACGGCTCTGCGCGGCTTCCCGGCGCCTCGCCCCGCCGGCAGGTTCCCGGCTCTGCGCGCACGCTCCGCGGTCTCCACGCACTTCGCACCCGCACCACGGCCTCGCGCCAGCCCCGCGTTCCCTATCTATTCACGCCCCGTGCTCTCTCTGCACGCGGCGGCTTCCGCGAGTCACACAGCGTAGCTTACGTCTCCGCCACTAGTATTCAATCCAAGTTCCCCGGACTAACCTGGCGAATTCCAACCTGGCGGCCCACGTCTCTGGTTCCAGATCTTCGCCTCTTGCTCCCCGGGGTGACTTGAAGAATTCCAAGGTGGCTTACGTTTCCGCCTCGGCCTGCACTCGCGGCTTCATCCTCCCTAACATTTTTCTCTACCCAGTATGTTTCCCTAAGTTTTCTTCCAACAATATTCCTCCCTCATTTCTCCTGGCCTCTCCCCACAGTCCGTATCCAAGTCTAAGTTTCTTATAGGTTTCACTTTCACTTTCAACCTGCAGTCCGTATCTGAGTCTAAGTTTCTTCTTGCTTTCACTTTAAATCCTAACTTCTTTCCCACAGTCCATATCCGAGTCCAAGCCTCCTCCGGGTTTCACTTTCGCTTTCAATCTCCTAGCTTCCCCGCCATAGTCCGCATCCGAGTCTATGAAAGCTTTCACTTTCGCTTTCAATAGCTTCTTCCGGCACCTAGGCTCTTTGCTAGTCTCTCTCTCCGGTATTTTCCACTTCTTCCCGTTTCTTCCCTCCTAAGTTTCCTATCCGAGTCACGGCACCATTATGTCGCTCCCCCTCTTCGTGGAGGAACGACACAGGACCCTGCGCTGTTCTTTCGTCTGCTCGGCCCTCCCCGGGTTTGCTGCTGGTTCTTCCCGGGTTGGCTACTGTCCCTTCCACCTCCGTGGAAGGGCAGTTCCCCCTGGCCACATTCCCCACTTCCGCAGGGGAGCGGCACACCGCCGGCCGGCTCTCTCGGGGGCTGCACAGGTGTTCCTTCAGATAGATGTTCCTGGTGCATGTTGTCTCTCTCCTCCTTTATAGTCCTTCCACCAATCCCAACTCTGCTACCCACACGCCGAGTACGCTGCTCTCCTCCAATCAGGAGCAGGTCCCACAGTTTATTGGTTGAACTGGAGGCAGCTGAGTAGAAGCTGTTTCCCTTCTCAGCGCCATATTGTGGGAAAGCAGATGCATAGAATAAGTCTTAATTCCAGTAACTTAGTCTAGTCCGAGTTGCTCCCAGTTGCTCCCCACAGTTAGAGCCACAGTCATCTGAAAGCTTGACAAGGCCGGGGACCCACTTCTAAGATGGTTCATTCACCTGGCTGTTGGCAGGCTGCCTCAGTCCTTTGCCATGTTGAGTTTCCATGGGGTTGCTAAAAGAGTCTTCACAGCAAGGCGGCAAAGCTGCTTTCCCTCAGAGTGAGTGATTCAAGAGCAAGAACAAGGAGGAAATCTCCCTATCTTTAGGATGGATGTAATCTCAGGAGTTATACAGTGTTCCTTTTTCCTCATTTTATTTGTTAAAAGCAAGACAGTAGTCATGGGAATTGGCAGATCAGGGAGTTCCAAGAATTGGTTCCTCTGTAGAAGACACGATTAAGTTGGAAGAAACTGACAAATCAACTTTTTCAAAGCTCTGGAATCTAATTTTAAAAACTTAAGCAACAAGGGGAGTGCTTAATGAAGAAAGGAACAGTCAAATTTGAGTCAGAAAGTATTGTGGCATTTTTGCTTACATGTCTGCCATCCCCCATTTCTAGCCTGGCAGCACACAGTTTTCCCACGATAGCTTGCTGGTGCCAGGATGGGGACAATCAAAGGCTTGTTCT